GTCTGTACCAGGAAATTTGTAAGACAGTTGTCTAGCCCACTGACTTGAAGAGATCCATATTTGCTACCATTCTTAAGAAAGTTGATCTGACAAAATATGGAAATAATCAAGCAATACAATTAATATCATAAGCAAATAGAAGCTTTTCTGCAAACAGCTACAACAGAACTCCCAGAAGTTCAGTCTGGGTTTAGAAGAGTCTATGACACCAGAGATATCATTGCTTATATAAGATGGATTCTAGCTAAAAGCAGAGAATACCAGAAGAATAATGTCTATTTATGTTTTATTGACTATGTTAAGGCATTTGACTGTGTGGATCATTAACAAACTATAGCTAACCTTGAGAAGAATAGGGATCTGAAAACATTTAATTGTGCTCATGCAAAATCTAAATCAAGAGGCTATTGTCCAAATTGAGCAAGATAATATTATACATGGAGTAAAATCAGGATGGATGTGTATCAGTGTTGTAACCTCTCTCAGTACCTGTTCAATCGATATTATGAGCAAATCATTCAAGAAGTTAGACTCCGAAGTAGGCCATGTTATCAGGATTGGAGAAGATTAATCAACAACTTGCATTTTGCAGATGACGATACTTTGTTTGCTGAAAGTTAGCAGTCCTTGAAGCTCTTGTTGCAGAAGATCAGAGATTGCAGCCTTCAATATGAACTACATCTTAACATCAAGGAAACAAAGCTTCTCACCAACTAGACTGATAGACAGCATCATGATAGATGGAAAAAAGACTGAAACTGTCAACAACTTCACCTTACTTAGATCCACAACCAATATCCTTTGTACCAGCAGGTAGATCAGATGTATTGCACTGGGAAAGTCTGTAGACAGGGACTACTACAAATTACTGAGAAGCGTGATGTAATTTGGAGAACTTAGGTGTGTCTGATTCAGGTCATAATCTTTTCAATCACTTGCTATGCAATGCTGTGCTTTGATGGTGGTAGGTATCACCGAGTAAAATGGGACTCGTAACAACCCTATGAACAACAAATCTGAACTTTATCCTGTCCTGTGCTATCCTCATCATCTCTGACACACTCGAGATCATTGCAGTATGTCATTGCACTGTGTCAATCCATCTGATTGAAGGTCTTCCTTTCTTTTGCTGACCCTCCATCTTTCCAAACATGATATCCCTCTCCAAGGAATAGCCTCTCTTAACAACATGCCCTAAGTATGTGAGATGAAGCTTTATAATTTTACCACTAAGGAACATTCCCACTGCACTCTCTCCAAATCATATCCATGTGTTCTTTTGGCAGTCCATAGGTTATTCAGTATTCTTCTCCAATACTACAATTCAAAGGCATCAATTGTTCATCTATCATCCTTACTGTCCAGCTTTCAGATGCATAACAAATGACTGAAAAGACCATGGACCAAATAAGTCACACCTTGGGTGTTGCTCCTCACCAATTTGAGAAGTTCCAGCCTGTAGAATTTCCTAGTGAATACATCTCCTGATCTCCTGACTCCTGCTATCAAGTGTGTTAATTGTGGATCCAAGTAAAATGAAGTTGTTGATAGTTTCATTTTTTTCTCCATTTATTATAATCTTGCCTATTGTTGCAGTGGCAAGACATTTTGGGTTTTTTTAATGTTGAAATGTTATCCATGCTGACGGGCTGCAGCCTTTGATCTTCTGCAATAATTGTTTCAATTCCTTCTTACTTTCAAAAAGCAAGGTTGTATCATCTGCATAACACAGAATATTGATGAGTCTTCCTCTGATTTTGATGCTAGTTTTCTTGATAGTCTCTTCTTGTTGTTATGTGCCATCGAGTCATGGACAACTCAGAGCAACCCTATGAATGAAAGACTTGAACTCTTGTATAACTTTCATTATTTCTCTAAGTTCATAGAGTTTCCAGAGGCAAGTCATTTCGGAAGTGGATTCCACTCCTGCTTCCAAGCTTGTTTTAATCAGGGAGCTCCACCAAACACTTTCCAGCATGGGTAACCATTATCATATTTGTCACATCAGTGTCACAGTGTTTAGCATCACAGCAACCACGAGTTCTGTACAGCAAATGGACAGACTAGTGCTATCCCACTCAGAAGACTATTTGACCAAAACTAATTAAAACCAGGCCTGCCAGCCCCAGATAAAAATCACCCACCTTTGGCTTGGTAGAATAACTTTCTCTCCACTAGGCCAAGAGAGCTCTCTCTATGACTCACAAAAAGTCTATGAACAATAGATCTAACTTTCCCCTATCCTACACCGTCCTCACAATCGAGACATGTTTGAGCCCATTGCTACAGTCCCATTGTGTTGAGGATCTTCTTTTCTTCTCTAACCTTGCACTTCTCTCAGCATGAGGTCACTTCCCAAGGACTGGAACCTTAACTGTTGTGAAGTGCCATTGAGTCGTAGACAACTCATAGTGATCCTATGAACGAAAGACCTGAACACTTGTTCAGAAAGTATAACTTTCATCATTTCTCTAAGTTCATAGAGTTTTCAGAGGCAAGCTTCCAAGTCTGTTTTAATTTGGGAATTCCCTCAAACCCTGTCCCCCATGGGTAACCATTATTCCATTTGACACATTGATGAAGTCTAACTTCTGGAATTATTTGCCCAGCATACAGATTGAATAGGTATAGAAAGTTTACAACCCTGATGTACACCCATCCTGATTTTGAATCATGCAGTCTTTCCCTTGCTCTTTTTGGACAACAGCCTCTTGATCTAGGTATAGGATTTACATGAGCATAATTAAATGTTCTGGGATCCCCATTCTTCTCAATGTTGGGCCATAGTCTGTTAATGATCCACATAATTAAGTGCCTTGGCATAGTCAATAAGACATAAACATTCTTCTGGTATTCTCTGCTTTTAGCTAGGATCCATCTTATATCAGCAATGATATCCCTGGTGCTATGGCCACTTATAAACCCAGCTTGAACGGACAGTTTTCTGTCAATGTACTGTTCTAGCCATTTTTTTATGCTCTCCAGCAATATTTTGCTTGTTGTTGTTGTTTTTATGTGCAATCGAGTCACTTGTGACTCATATTTCTCTTGCATGTGATATTAATGTTATTGTTCAAGAATTTTCACATTCTTTTGGATCACCTTTCTTGAGAATGAACAAATCTGGATCTCTTCCAGTTAGTCAACCAGGCATCTATCATCCGAATTTCTTGGCACAGACTGATGAGCACATTCAGGGTTGCATCTGTAGATGAAACATGTCAATTGATATCTCATTGATTCCTAGTGTCTTGTTTCCTGGGGCCAGTGGCTTCAGAACAGCTTGAACTTCTTCTGTCATCACCATTGCCTCTTGATCATATGATACTTCCTGAAATATTTCATTGTTGATTAGTTCTTTGTTGTACAGTGACTTTGTGTATTCCCTCCATCTTTTTTTTTTTAATGTTTCCTGGATCATTTACAATTTTGCTCACGGTGTCTCTCAGTTCTGCAATTAGATACTTGAATCTGTTTCTTTTTAGTCCTTTTAGCTTGAGAGACATGCTGAGGAAGTGCTAACTTTTAAAAAAAATTATATTGATTTGCATACAAAATTTGTATATATTATGTATCAAAAACTTACAGTTGTGCTTCACACATTTCTTCCTTCAAATTGTGTTCCAAATGATCACTCATATGCATTATGTATTATAAAATTAATCACCATTGATCCACGCCTACTATTATTACCCTGTCTTTTCAGATCCCCATTGGATATTTCTTAATTCCTTCACATCCCTCCCTCCACCCACCAAACTCTGATATCCTAGTGATTTCCTTTCCTTTCCTCTCTTTACCTTTTGCCCCTCTCCCATTCCTCGTTTAGACTTTTGTATGCATCTTGTATCCTTTTGTATCCTTCTATTTTTATAATAATGGTGTTATGCAGTATCTCTCCTTAGGAGACTGGGTTTGCTCAAACTAATGTTTTCCAGATTCTCCCATGTTATATTGAATTTTACAAAATCATTGATTTTTAATGCTGGATAGTATTCCACTGTGTGAATGTATAAAAAAAAGTCTCAATCCATTCATTCATTGGAGTTCTATGCTTTCATTCTCCAGCTCCAGCTCTTTGTACATTCTGTTACAATGCTTGGTTTTGTCTTCTGGAGTTGCCCTTTGAAACCTCATGTTCAGCTCTTTTACTTCAATATATCTTCTCTTTGTTTTGCCTTCTAGTGTAAATTTCAGAGTCTCTTTCGACATCCATTTTGACTTTTTTTCTTTCTTCTGTCTTTTTAGTGACCTTTTACTCTCTTCATGGATAATATCCTTGATGTCACCCCACAATTCACCTGATTATTGATCTTTGGTGCTCAATCCTATCAAACCTATTCTGAAGATGATTTTTAAATTCAGGCCTGATAAACTCAAGGTCATGTTTTGGTTCTTATGGACTTATGTTAATTTCCTTAAGCATCAATTTAAACTTGCACTAGAGTAATTGATGGTCTGTTCTAGTCATTAGCTGGCCTTATTATGACTGCTGATACTGAGTTTCTCCAACAATTCCCTCCTCGGATGTAGTTGGTCTGATTCCCATTGTAGTCCATCATATCACAATGGAGAGGGACATCATGCTTAGAAATGTGGAGAGTTAGCAAAAGAGAGAAGTCTCTCAGACAGTAACTGCTGCAATGGGTTTGAGCATGTAAAGAGTTATGTGGATGGCACAGGCTAAGACAGGGTTCGAATCTGTTGTTCATTGGTTTGCTGTGAGTCATGTGTGACTCTATGACACTTAATAATAGCAAGGCAAAACCCTAATGATGACAAGGGGGTGAGTTTGAACCCCATCTGACACTATTAACCGTGCTGCGGTCTCCTAGCTCTTTCATTTCTCTAGAGTTAGTTTCATTTCCCCTTAGTGTGCTTACTTTCAAACAACAAACGAATTCTGCACTATAATTTAAATGTCGTCTTTGAACTGCATTCCAAAAAATGGCCCCAGGGACATCTGTGATAATGTCCCCTTTTGTCGTCTTTCCCTCCAGGTCTGCTAGCCACGGGTAGGCAGCTAGACCGAGAGAGTAAGGATGAACACATCCTGGAGGTAAGTTAATGCTTGTGGACCTTTCATTGGATTTGACTTTGTAGGCAGGAAGCCTCCTGCAGGAGTACAGGCTGAGGGCTGCATGCTTGTCTGCAGGTGCTTTGGTTGAGAAGAAGGTGGGCCATGAGAAGAAGATATGTGGGCCAAACTTTGCTGTGGTGGTTGTGGAGACACTGGGGGTATTAACTGGTTTTCCAATAGTGTGAAGGAAAACCCGGTCCAGACTGAGGAAAGATGAATTGATTAGTAACGCCTGCAAAGAGTGCAGGAAGGATGAGCGTATACATTTACTATGACCTGTTGATTCTGGTTTTCAGTCCATCCCTCAAGCCTAGAGAAGTATCCCTAGAGCAAACACCATGTCACTAGCAAGGTCTAGGATGAAAACCAGATCTTTGGCTTCTAGATCTGTGTTTTCCCCAAAGATGTTTCTAAAATCACATCAACATTCCTGGTGTCCATTTCAGCGGAAGTGTTCACCACTGACTTTGTTGTTATGTGCCATTGAATAATGACCCTTCATACAGCAGAATGAAACCCTGATTCAATCAGAAGGGCAGAATGCTAGGTGGCGATGCTCCTTCTTACGTTGTCCTTAACTGATAGGTGGGTTTCTCTTCTCTTCAGGACCTCAGAAAGGGAGGTCACACATTCTTTAGGACAACTGAAAACATTTGCCTTCTGTGTCTCAAGCTCTTCACATTTCCTTTGTAAGAAATAAGTATTACTTGTAAGCAGCAGCTAACTGACCTTCTAATGTGTCTAGGGACCAAAACATTCTGCATTGTTAAGTGGTAGTATTTAATGTTTAAACATCAACATATGTCTAAAGTGCTAAACCTTTTGAGGTGGGATTGTCCCATCTCCTGCAACACCTTTGAGGTATTTATATGTGGAATAATTTGTCCCTTCATGAAATGACTCCTGACTCTGAAATTGTTTTAGTGTCTTTCACTCTCTGTCTCTCATTCCATGTACAAGGCAGCATGATTGACTCAAAAGATACCACCCACTCCTTCATAAACATTTTCTCATTTGTTTTATCTAACCTCAGGTAGCTTAAGGAAACCCAAGAACAAAGCTTATGAGAATTATGAGCAGATGAAAATTAAATGGTGTCTGAGTGACAGCTAATGGGCCTTCTTGAGGGAGTGCCAGGTTTGGCTAGAAGCCCTGTGACTCTGTCTCCTTCCAATCTTTTCTGGTTTCACTCTCTGTTCTCACTGACTTTCCTGTAGGCAAAGTTACTCAAGTTCCAAGTGGGTGAAGTTATGATAATAAAATAATGAGCCTACAGCAAAGAACAAGCTGGCATATAAGCTTGTGATGGGTCGCAATATATTCAGTGCTTTGCTTCTGGCAACTCAAGTGTTGATGATTGATTCTATCCCTAGGTAACTGTGCTGGACAATGGGCAGCCTCCCCTGAAATCCACCTCCAGGGTGGTGGTACGTGTCTTGGATGTCAATGACAATCCACCTGTGTTCTCCCACAAACTTTTCAATGTCCGCCTTCCAGAGAGACTGAGTCTGGCGACCCCTGGGCCTGTGTACAGGCTGGTGGCTTCAGACTTGGATGAAGGTCTTAATGGCAGAGTCACCTACAGTATTGAGGAGACTGATGAGGAAGGCTTCAGCATCGACCCAGTCACAGGCATGGTGTCATCCAGCAACACCTTTGCAGCTGGAGAGTACAACATTCTCACAGTGAGTATACGGACAGAGGCCCAAGGAGGCGTGGCTTCATGGTTTGTAATTTTATTATGGATACAGGAAGATAGTATCAGAACAAGAGAATGGTGGGTGCTTTAAAATTAGAAAAAGTGTGCACCAAGTTTGTTTCCTTTTGCTATTTTATTCAATCTGTGTGCCAAGCAAATGATCCAAGAAGCTAGATTATACAAAAGAACGCTGCTCTAGTACTGGAGGAAGTCTTATTAACAACCTACAATACACAGATCATACACCTTTGTTTGCTGAAAGAGGACTTCAAAAACTTACCAAAACCAAAGACTTCAGTCTTCCATGTGAATGTCACTTTGACCTAAAGAAAACAAATATCTTTACAACCAGATCAGTATGCAACATCATAATCAACAGAAAACACTGCAGTTGTCAAGCTTTCATTTTACTTTCATCTACAACCAATGCTATTGGAAGTAGCTATCAAGAGATCAAATGACATTATTCATTGGGAAATTCTGCTGCAAAACACTTCTTTAAGAGTTAAAATGTATTAAATATTAATAAGTGATTAATACTTGATATTTTCAAACATATACATGCAAAAGCTGGATAATAAACAAGGAAGATTAAAGAAGAATGGATAGCTTTAAAGTGTTGCAGGAGTGGCATCCACTTCCTAAACCACATGCCTCTAGAAACTCTATGAATTTTGAGAAACGACGATAGTTATAGAAAGGCTTCAAGTCTTTTGTTCATAGTGTTGCTATGAGTCCTGCTCGACTCTACAGCAAACAACAACAGCAAAGTGTTGCACTGACTAAAAAATACTGAACATATCATGAGCCCCTGAAAGAATGAACAAATCTGTCTTCGAAGCAGAACAGCCAGGAAGTGAGTGTGCCAATTTTCACTCACTTACATTTGACACATAATCAAGACCCATTAGTTCTTTGAGGACTAATACATAGTTAAATGGAAGAACCTTAGTGAACATGGATTGATGCAGTGGCTGAAAATGAACTCAAGTAGCAACAACTATGAAGATGGCACAGTGCTGGAGAGGGTTTTGTTATGATGTACATAGGGTCATTATGAGTAAAAACTGACTCAATGGCACCTAACAACAAAAAAGGAAGGAAACAGTCAGCAGGCACAGAGGTGGTACTTCCTTACCTAATCATCTCCCAGAGAAATTGAGAGTGTCGGCTTAAACCAAGGATTAGTATTTTGAGTCTGTTGCTTTGAGAGCTATAAATAAGGTTCTTGCTTGAGAAATTGACTCTGTTCTTTGAGATAAGGCTTTTTAAATACAATGGCTTTAAGAATTAAGATAAATCTTGAGTCTAAGCTTAACACTGCCACCTTATACCTGTATGACTTTGGGTCTTTGATCCTCTATAAAATGGAGATAAGAACAGTTTCCTCACAGGAAGCTAATATAGCTAATATAGAAATGGCTAGGCTCTCATGTCACATAACCTGATGCAACTCTGTTCTTGTAGTTTATCAGGCATATAATCCTGCTGATGTTGACACTTTAAGCCCAGTTTCCTTCTATAAAAGAGAAATTATACAACAGTTCTCAGAGGGCTATCGTGAGGATTAAATTAGATAATTTACATATAGCTCTTAAAACATAATCTGATAATAGATTAAATTATATAATTTACATAGAGCTCTTAAAACAGGATCTGGTAATAGTGAGAGTTTAATAGTTTTTAGTTTAAGGTGTTCAGTTCTAGTGTTATGTTATTAGGTGTCATTGGGTCAAATACAACTCATAGTGATCCTGTGAACAACAGATCTTAACCCTGTCTTATCTTGTGCCATCCTCATAATCTCTGACCACTTGAGCTCACTGCTGCAGTAACTATGTCAATCCACCTGGTTGAAGGTCTTCTCCTTTGCTGTTCCTTCGTCTTTCTAAGCATGATATCTCTCTCCAAAGAATAACCTCTCTCTTAGCAACATGCCCAAAGAATGTGAGATGAAGCTTCATCATATTTTCTCCAAGGAACACTATAGCTGCAACTACTCCAAGACATATCTGTTTGTTCTAGTGTTATAGTATGATGTTACATGCTGCTAATTGAAAGGCAGAAGGTTCCAATTCACCAGTGGCTCCACAAAAGAAAAATAGGAAATCTCTCATAAAGATCAACAGCATTGGAATTCTAATGAAACCTCAAAACTGACAACAGTGGGTTTGTTTTTGGAATGCTATTGAGAAGTGGAGGGGTGGTGAAGGAGAGGAAGACCTTCAATGAGATGGATCGATTCTGTGACTGGAGTGGTGGGAACGAGTATGTTTGAGATGGCGAGGTTGGCACAGGATAGAATGGCATTTAGAGCTCTTGTACATAGGGTCACTATGACTCACAAGTGACTCGATGGCACATAACAATACAACAACATTGAGATGTATCTTCATTAGCTAACATTGCTATAATAGAAATACTACAAGAAGATGATGTAAACAAATATAATTCATTTTCTCAAAGTTTAGAAGGTCAGAAGTCCAAATTCACAGGATCAACTGTAGAGTAAGGACCTTGACTCTTTTCAACATCTGTGGATCCAACATTCCCTTGGAGTGTCTAGGAAGTTCTCAGCACAGAGACCCTGGATCCAGAGGATAAGCTCCATTCTCAGCTCTTCTTACTTGGTGGTAGCCAGGTCCCTCTGCTTTCTGCTTACTTGTCTTTTCTTTTATCTCTTGTAAGATAAAGGTTGTTACTCAAGCAAGGGAGTCACTTAAGTAAGGATAGGACTCCAGATATGTATGCTTCACAGTAATCCTGCCTTATTAACATAAAGGGATTAGGATTTACAAGCCAGAATGAAAGGTACTTACATTAGCCAGATCACAAAATGAAAAAACTAGACAATACTAGGAACTATAGCCTAGCCAAGATGACACATACATTTAGGGAGTGGGGTAGTACCTAATTCAGTCCATGACAGGAAGAATAAAGGAAACAATATACCCAAAATCCATTTTATGAACCAACACTCATCTGCAATTAATAGTTTTATTATTATGTTTTCTCTATGAGTTCTTAGACACGAGTTATATGTTTTGTCACCACCGTGTCTGCAGCAGTTAGAATGATAGATTAATAAGCATTCAAATGTGTTGAATGAATGAACAAGAGGATGAGAAGCCAGTGTGGCTGGAGTCCAGGACACTCTGTTTCTTGACCTGGCTTCAGGGCTGCCTTGATTTTCTTGTCTTTTGTCTCTCACACTCCAGGCAAAGTCTCGAGTTCATTTTTCATCTCTTTTCAGATCAAAGCAACAGACAGTGGACAGCCACCACTCTCAGCCACTGTCCGGCTACACATTGAGTGGATCCCCCGGCCCCGGCCTTCCTCTATACCCATGGCCTTTGATGAGACCCACTACAGCTTTACTGTCATGGAGACGGACCCAGTGAACCACATGGTGGGGGTCATCAGTGTTGAGGGCCGTCCTGGTCTCTTCTGGTTCAATATCTCAGGTGAGAAAAGACCAAGGGCCCAAAAAGGGCTAGCCTTTCCCACCGTTATCATCCAGCTCCAGTCCTCATGATACAATGCTCTCAAGCCACTTAAGATCACACCTTCTAGAAGCCCCTTCTCTGACTGAGTGGTGACAACCTCTGCTCTGGGTTCTCTGGGGAGGAGGCAACAGGGGCACCACTCCTGTCCAACTTCCCTTTGCCTTTAGCCAGAAGATGAAGATCTCAGTCTAGTATCATGACCTGCTGTCAGGTGGGAATCATAATATCACTGGTAAACTTGCTAGTGAGAATGAGCAGTGCCTCAGTTACCCCAAGAAATAGCAAGAATAAAGAGGAAACCCAGAGGAGAAAGCACAAAATGTCTACTTCCTCTTCTACTTCTGTGTGAAAAATCAGTGTAAAACCAACTAGACTGATCATAAACTTGAGATTACTGCCCTCTAGAACCACACACTGGTCCCAGAGTCCACCCTCAAGATCAAGCAGAAGGTGTTCATTCTCACTTAGAAGACAATCAGGTCTAAATTTAGATGGTTTCTCTGAAGTTTCTTTCCGTCTCTAAATCAAAGTTTTCTTTAAACAGCTGAGAGACACAGGCAGGAGATCTGATAAATGCATACAATCCTCTTCACAGAAAATTGTACTTATATACACAAACATAATTTTGCATAGCAGGCATTCCAGGTTAAGAACTTCTAATTGGAGAGGAATCCTATTACAGCTTTTCATGCTCACCTCAGGTAAACTACACATCTATCCCAAACTTTTTTTTTATAATGCCTTTTATTTATGCATTCATCTTAACATATAGGGAAATTAAGGCATGGGAGACTTATGATTCTTCACAGATAGTGATCTTTCTCTACAATAAGGTATCCCAAACTCTTTAACCTCTTGGATTTACTTCCAGTTCTGATTCACTGCTCTTTTATTTAAATGGTTCCCATCATCTGAATTAATACACATACCCTGCAGAACGTTTAGAAAATACAAATGATTATTGTTGTTGTTGTTGTTAGCTGCCATCGAGTGAATACTACTCATAATGACTCTATGAACAAAAGATCTGAACCCAATCCTGTCCTGTGCCATCCACACACTTCCTGACACACAGCAGCCCATTGCAGCAGTCACTGAGTCAGTCCACCTAGTTGAGGGTCTTCCTCTCCTTCACCGACCCTCCACCCTTCCAAATGATTATACGGAAATAAATAAAAATCACTGAAAGTTCTAAAATATTTTTGTCATCTCATAATAAAACTCTGTACCATTAAGCAGTTACTTCCTACACTCTTTTCCTCCACTTAGTCACCAGTTTCTGTTTCTATAGATTTGCACATTCTGAATATTTCATATAAATTGAGTAATTTCTAATGTCTTTAGACAATTAGACAATTAGAAATTACTCAATTTATATGAAATATTCAGAATGTGCAAATCTATAGAAACAGGATGCATCACCTTTGACCGATAAATATTGCGACTAAACTTCAGAGACACTGATCCCAACATAAGGAACTACCATCAGCTGATGTGTTTGAA